GGGAGAAAAAAAAACCAAAAGGAAGGAAAAAATTTTTTAAATTGTAAAAAAAATTTTTTTTTTGGGGGGGGGGGGGGGGATTAAATGGTCCGTTAATAGCACAGTAAACTAACTTAATCTCTTGTTACCAGGTGTGATGAAAAGCTCGTATGTATCAAATCGTAGATCTTGTCCCCTCTGAGGCATTGTACCGTGTACCAATGGCTCGTGTGTTTCTCTGCAAAGTTGCTCACTCTTGTGTTCAAGTGAAAGGAGTTGAGGGCATATTCCAAATTAATCCCTAATCTAGTGTCACAATACAAGAGCATTTCATTCATAAGAAATTTGACATTAAGTGTTCACCCCTTTTTACTTGTCCTTGTTCAACGTAAGTGCATGTTTTCCGTTAAAATTCATTCGGTGGAGTTTTTTTTCCAGCGTTGAATTCAGTGTTCTGAAAAGATAAATCAGATTGTGTGAAATTGGGATGAGAGACAAGAATTTCAATTTATAACCTGCGTAGAAACTTAGCATGTGTCCAATGTGAAGATACTGGTTTAAGTCAATTGAGACTTGACTTTGGTTTAAAGTGGCGATCTGAATTGAGGCAAAAAAAAGTATTTAGACTTAAATTGGACTTTCCCTCAAATACTTGAGATCTGACTTGGACTTGTCCCTAAAATAGTTCACTTGGTCTTAAGATAAAAAGATTTGAGAACTGAACTAAATTTGCCTTCAGAGACTCAATAAATGTTATTTTTAGAGCAACAGCCTTTAGACTCACCTCTGGAAGAGTCTTGACATTGATTTGGAAGAAACGTGTCTTGTAGACGCCTGTGGAAGAAATCAGAGCAGATGAATTTGAACCAATCAATCTTTGGTTCAAGATTGGACAAAAAATATTTTGACTCCATGCATTTGGTATCTCCTTACAATTGCTTATCAAGATCGAAGAAAACAAACAATCTTATCTGAATGAGTAGTAAAATGACGTTGTCTTAACCCTTGTATGTCGAAATCGGGTCCAACCGAACCCACACACGTAAAACTTGTAGCATTTTCCATAGTCCTCTACGTTTGCCTCAGTCCTCGCACGCACAAGGGTTAAAGCCACTACTGTGCTCACTTGAAATGAACAAACAAGATCAGATTTAAGCTTTAGAGAGATTCTTTCTTTTCTTTTCGTTTTTTTTTATTTTATCCAAATGTGACTATTAAGCTAGCTGTTTCTGTGTGTCTTCTGTCTTTATGCTAACCCAACCAGCTTCCTTGAGGCTTTCCACATTGGGACTTTAAATAATCGAACTCCTTCGGGGTGACAAGGACGTGGGTTGTCTTGATCGATCCTCACTCACTGGGTTGATTTGCCCAGAAGGACAACTCCGTGCTACATTCTCGAAATCTCAGAATCACAGACCTTTGACCCTCGAGATCCCTGTCGGAGAACTGCATCACCGCTGAACGCCAAAGCATACACCGCGCCAGTGACCGACCTCTACGCCGATGGGAGATCTTAGTCACAGAGGAAGCTGTATTTAAATATTCTATCGTCGCACTGTATGGTTCCCTGGAAGGAAGCTAAAGTTGGGATTTATACTGTTTCGAGGAATGTGATGTTTAGTCTTGCTAAATGACTGAATGGATCTTCACCACTGGAAAGAGTAAATGTCGCAACGACAAGGGAAACACTACGATTTATATATTTTGAGACTTGAATTTTCAGTTGGACTGATCCCCAAAAGTCTGTTTTTGTAGCAGTGTAACTTATAAGATGTTGCCATTGAAATACTAGTGCTCACAAAGGTGAGTTATCGATAGAGGCCAAAATCTGTCTGTGCCATCTACTGTATCTTTATTGCTTTTCCACTGTTACTCAGACAAGAGATGCACGCTGTCGGTTTACCACAACAACAACCAATTATTAATTTGACTCCCTGAGCCTTTTCAGACCCAAATAACTCTTTAACTGAAGTCATCCATGACTCTTACGCCATCACTTTTGGGTATCTTGGTAGTTCAAGGGTGATGAAAAGCGTCCAGCTTTGATTTAATGTCCAAAATTAACTTTAAAAAAAAATCTTATCCGCTCTACTACAAAGCCAAGCTAGCTGTGTTCCAGTAACTCATTGCTAGCTTAGATTAACAAAATATAAATCACACTGAATTTGCTCTCTCAAACTAAACAGAGTTTGAGCAGCAGTATGTTTTAAGCTGCAGATTTTTATGAATCATAAATCGTCCATAGCTGCAAATGTAACCTATTTTTATGACTAGGAGAGCCATATGGGATTTTCACTTGGATGTATCTCTCCTTTTAAACTGAGAATCCAACATTTATGTGTAATTTTGTGTTACCAAAAGTTTGTAGCATAAGCTAGGCACTTTTCTTCATTCTGCATGAATCAAGGATCGCTCTCTTTCAGTAAGTTTAGCTTCTGGAGCTTTGAACAGACACCATTAATACCTGTTTTGAAGCCATCAAGCATTTTCAACACTAAATTGTACACTGGATATGGACGCCTGGCATAACTAAAAGCAGAAAGTCAGCTGGTTTGTCATAAATGTTTGATAGGACACGATGACATTTAGTCACTGATCAAACAAAGACAGAAAGAAAACCTCTGTCTCAAAGTCTCTGTTCAAATCCACACATTTATTTTGCAAAGGATTCAATTTTCTGCTTGGTTTGTGTTCAGAAACACAATCAAACTTTTTTAAAAAAAATAATCTTTCCAAGGTATAAAATTGATTTTAAGAAACTCAATTTCTAATGTTATGTGTGAACCTGATATCTGGAGATGATTAATATATATATATATTACTGTCTTTTATAGGAACAGACAACAGTGAAGCTTCTTTCAATCGTCCTTGAGCCTAAGTCTGGTTTTGTCATGCTCTAATTTCTCGTCTTGAATTTTGATGCTTATGACAAGGTAGAAGACTTTTTCAAAACTGTTTCAAAGACCATGATAATGTTGTAGCATTGGCCATAATTTCTCCATTCAAACACATTTTTGGGACATTTCACCAGGGAATAAATCTTTATGAGTTTTTAATTGCATTGAAAGAATTTTTTAAGTGGAAACCCCCCAAAAGAGGGATTACACAAGGAAGATTATGAAATAAACTATATATTTAACTGTAGGTGTTGATGTAATAAGATGAGAAATATTAACATTTTTCTAACTTAATTCTTGAGGTGTGATATTATCTATTTATATCTTATATAAACTTAATGTTTGTTAATGCTTTAAAGTGTGCTTTTGGTGACCTTTTCTTTTTCACAAGTTTTTACACGACGTGTGAAATCTGCTTACTGATTTGCCTTTGACCAGCTTTGCATGAAGCCCTTTGAATGGGAGGATAGTGTCCAGGGTACAGCAGTGTGTCAGAGGCACAGAGGGAAATGAGAAGCAGGACGGATAGGAAAAGGGTAAAAAATAAAAGAAAAAACTCCCCTTGAAATGTTGTCTTTTCTAAATAAATAATAAATAAAGTCACGTTGTGATGTGTCTCATTTGATTTTGCAGTTTATTTGTTTTCAGACCAACAATAAGCCACGTGCTTTATTTAATGTTACATCCTGATTAATGCTGAATTGCTTTCTGCACAAGAGCTTTTATGAGATAATCGTATTACAACGTGTGTTTGTGTCTGGTCAGGAAACGGCAGCTAACATCTCTGCAGAGCCCACACATCCTGGACACAGACTGGTTAGAACTTTACCTTCAGGCTGTTGCTGCAGAGTGTTAGTGGCAGTAACCAAAGACAGTTTATTCCACGCTTCATATCTCTGATGAACACAACAAACTCCTTACAAGGTATCAGCTTTTAGTGATTCTGAAATTGAGGTAATTTATGCAATCAACATCAACAGATTTTTTTCATGCTAGTGCATAATTTTACGCAAATATGGCCCAAAGCATCAGGTTTAAGTGAGTGCTAACTCCCACCTGCAGGTGGCAGTATTTTTATTTTTTTATTTTTTTCCTTTTACTACGCTCTAGTAAAAGTGAAAAACTTGATGTCAGATTTAATACATTTGCAAATATTTCTAAAATCTGTGATTTTGACACACACACACACAAAAAAAATAACCCTGAAAGGGTTTGATCAATGTGAAAAGATTTTCAATATTATTTAATTTTGCGAAGTACTTATTGCATGCTGAGACAGTTATGTATTTATTTTAGAAGTTCGTTAATGGTTTTTATTCATACATTCAGGCACAACCGGTCCATTGAGATCATTCATGATCTTGATGTGGCCCAAAATGAAAAAGAGTTTGAGTATCTTTAAGTATGTAAAGTTTAGAGTTACTTAATGTCTGGATCCTGTCAACGTTTGAGACCAAAGTCAAACTGCTTGTTTGCGTTCACAATCTTAGCCTAAATCTGATTATGATTCTCATAGTTAGCATCATTACAAGTTCACCGGGTTTTTTTCTTTCCTTGATATAAATCCACCTGAGATTTTCTGACTCTGAAAAGGATCCACTCTATTCATGACATGAGCTTTTGTAAAGCTGTTTCTGTGTAAATGTGCATCACTTTCCAAAGGCTATCTGTTCACGTTCTCAAGAGGAGAGTTAATTTTATCATTTAATGATCTGCTGTGAGGCTTTTTACAGACAGTGACTTCCCAGTTGAACTCAAATCGGAGCTGTACATGTTGAACCTGAAGTCGCTGACACATCCGCTGTCCGATTTATCCAGTCTCTACTTTGTCATAGAAGCATGAAATTAAAATTTCTCCTGACTGTCATTCCGAAACGCTGACATCCGAATGCAACATCGTGTCTACAAGTGACATAACATGAAAACTATAAGGAGGCTGCGGTGACCTTTCTAATGGTCAAACTCGACATTTCAGTTCTGCATGACTGAAATTCATGAAACATCATTAAACATTGACCTCAGTATGAAAGGCAAAAACATGGCAACACTTTATTTGAAGGGTTGTTCATAGACATGACAACAGTCATGAGCTTGAAGGAGTCTTAGGTAAATAATGACACTTTAAATGCAAATTTAACACTTTTAATTGACTTTTGATGCAACTTTTAAAGCAACTTTGCATTATTTACCGAATGACACTTCATGAAAAACAATCATAAACATTCATAAAGACTCCTTCATGTTCATGACAGGTCACCCCGTCAAATAACAGTTTGTCACCTTTACTGCAGATGATGCTTTACTATCGATTGCAAAGAACAGCGACAGTGCTTTTAAAACTATTCATATGCTTATTGAGCATTTTGTCACGTCAAATTATCAATGAGATTTATATCTGAACTTGAACTGGGCCATAAATCCTGATGTGCTGATCCTGCCGCCGCCATGTTTCACTGACGGTCTGATGTTTTCAGGGTGATTTGTTGTGTTAATTTGTGTTTTCAAATTATTTCACATTTAATTTTCATCATCCCTTTCCACAACAGTCAGGTTTGTAGAGTTTGTGGTCACTCCTGTAGTTGCTGCTGTTTGTCTGAATGACGCTCTTCTTGCCTGGCTTGAAAAGCTGTGTTTTATTTTTTTAAATTTTCACTTAATTGAAGACTCCATAATGCATCCATTTCATCATCCTATTTAATCTTTTGCTTCATCTGTTACCAGCTCCTTATAAAGAACAAAGAACAAGATTTAATTGTTGTTTTTTTATTACAAAAATTTGCACCAGTGGTTGTTATAAACATGTTTGTCTTGATGTTGCAGAAAAAGGATGAGGTTTCCATGGCGCTGCAGCCCCCTGACAGTGGGGGTCAAAAATGCAGAATATAGTTTCAAGGAGAGGAAAGGAATAAATATTATAAACTAAAATATAAATAAACTCCTTTATATTTTGAGTCCATTTTGCTGATTAAACTGTGATTTTCTTGTAGTTGTGATCCTTGTGGCTCCAAATTAGTGTAATTTCCTGTGCAATAATCTGCTTGTGTCATGTGAAAATTTTGCAAATATTAGCAAAGCTGTATAATAAAGACATGAAAGGGGATATAGAAAATGTCAAATTAAATGTAAATATGGGGAAATAAAAAAAAACAAACATTTTTTTTCTATTATTGAAAACACAAAAAAGTTATGAGGACAATTTAGAGAAGCAGAACAAAGTAATTGTGACTTTAAGTAACAGTAAAAACATCAACAAAAAACTGAAATATTGTGACATAAATAGGACAGTAACAGTCATGTTAATAATATATAATCATAAAAATTACATGTATTAGTAAATTGACTGACTAAATAACACTTTTCCAGTCATACTAACCAGTTAAATTCACTTATAGCCACTTATAAATCAAGAATAATTAGAAAAGATACAGACAGAAAAGGCAGATGGACTAAAAAGTCAATTATCAACCTCTGACTCCTATGAACCCAGATGGGTCAACATGCGCTGAGTTGAAATATTGCATTGAAACGCAACACAAAAACGTCCATCTTCCCATTGATTCAGAACCCTGGGAAAGTTTACACTTGCATTAGGCGTGTGTGTGCATCCACATCTTGGACTTTTTTTTTGTCAGGACAACAGTATTATCTCATCCTCTGCAAACAGCCGTGGCACTGAACCTGCAACTGATGTTCTATCTGTCTGTGTAAACTTTTGAAACAATGCAGAGAACATCAAGCATGCAATTTTCAATCTTATCTCCACATCGTATAAATAAACTCGGGGGGTCAAACAATGCTGTCACTGGGCGACGCTCAATGGTGTTGACATTGCTGTCAAATCCTTCAACAGGGGCACACAGCTGGCAGCGACAAACTCACCGAGCACCAAACAGTCGCCGCTAAATAAACAAATGCTTTGATATCAGGCGACATTTATTCTGTTTGCTAGCAGGAGACAATGCAAGGACTCTTCTGTTTCTTCTTCTTCTTTGTCGCTGCAAAGCAAGAGAATGTAGAGGCGCAAAACAAAGGAGACAAAAAGGTCACTCTGTGCGGAATGAGATGCAGCGCCGTGCCATTAACCACGAGGATGGCCGCTCACGGAGCTCAGTCAGCCAGCGTCCTGCTCACAGGAAGGATATTAAAGCTTTTTCCCAGAGTTGACAGAAGAATACAGGGAAGTGGGTTGACCCAGTGGTTTTGACAGGAAGTGTGAGAGTGCCAGGCGTCCATGCAGACCTGCTCCTTGGTGATGGATAAGATGCTGGTGGTGCACAAAGAAGCACTTTTGCAAGGCCGATGCAAATTTCTGCCATTGTGAATGCCGTGAGCGCTCTTAAATAAAAATAGCAACTTAAAACCAGATCTGCTGGTGGGCTTTTTTTAACAGTTGCGGTCAAGCTGGATGTTGAACCGATTATTTTTTTAAAATGTATTTATTTCTTTCAATTTTTTTATTTCAGAAATTGATTTTAAATAAGAGGCACTGTTTTTTTTGTTTTTGTTTTTTTTGCTCAATTAGATTTTATTGTTTTCTTTCAGATTAGGTTTTTGTAGCCAACAAGAAGCAAGTGATGCACTTAAGGCTCAAAGTTTATACATAAAAGGTAGAATACTATTTATGCTATTTAGCATAAAACTCACTTCCACCCTCTAAACAGTTTATGGGTTTTTATCAGGAAGCTGCTGCACATTAATGGGCCTCTCTGTGGAAACATGACAGTTTTTCTCAATTGCTTTGGTGCATTTCTCTCCAATCAGTTAAAATTCCCATTAATGTTATTTCAGCCTCCGTGACATTCAGCTATTTGTGCATCATAGTTTATAAATCCTTCTGGCAAATAGTAAATCCTTTTTGAATATGCATCAAAAATTGCTTTCATAAAGTTCTCTGCTATTTAATAACATTATAATTTGAGTATGTTTTATAGTCATTCCCTCTAAAACAACAACAACAACAACAAAATCTAGAGTCATGACGTACAAAAAAAATGGTGACCTGGTTCTCAAAACATATCAAGCAAATTTCATGCATTTCCTCTTCAAGTCTTACCTGGAAATCTCCAAAACTGAACAATCTCTCTCAGGTGAAACTTGGCTTTCACTGGATGATATTGTTACAAATTAGAACTGCAAAGACTAAATAATTTATGTAGTAAAAATGTGTGTTCTGTGTCTCGTAGTCATTTATCTCACCAACTACATTAATACGCAACTTGAATGTATATTCTACATGACTTTGCAAAGAGTGTGTCGCGATGTCGTGAACATTTCAATTAGTACCACCTGATATTTTTGCATTAGATAAAATGACATGTCACTAAATTGTTCATGAGTAATGTATGAAGATTTTTCATTTTGGTGGCACTAATACTTTCATAGACATGAGTATTAACTTTCTGCTGTGGACCTTTGATGTGAACTCATAGTTAAAACGTGTTTGACTCCAACTTCAGTTTTAACCTCAAGATATATGTTTTTCCAATTGTTATTTCTTAAGCGAAGTGATTTTTTTTTTTAAACTCAAGTTAAAATGAAATAAACCACAAATCCAAATGTTCCTCAAGTAAATGTGACAGTCCAGGAAATTAAAGCAACTTTAGAAACTGTGTTTTCTAATATTTATGCTCCGTGTTTTCTGCTTTGATCTCGGCATGCGCGCACAAATTACAGTTTACATCTAAAACACGCCATGAGACTCCTCACCGTGGGGTTAATGCAACATGTCTTCCTCTTACAACTGATGATAAAGTTCTCAAATGTTTTTCTATGGAGGCCTGAGAGCTGGGAGGTTTCTCTCCACCCACTCAAAACAAACAAACTTGGAATAGACGCGCTGACAGCCGACGGCTTCTGGGAAGACATCGCAGTGGGGTGCATCACTTCTAGCGGGGTTTCAAGTGAAACGCTTCAGGCTCGACCACAATAGCCCCTCCACTGGTTTCTACAAATCATCCGAGATCGCCTTACAAGAGCATCAAGCCTCCTAAAGGCAGTTCTCACAAGTAGCTAAACCAGACCCACACACTCACACACACATGCACACGCTCACAGATTCCCACAGTAAAAAGCACTGAGGCGTATGACCCAAACAGGACATCCTCTCAATCTTTCACCCTCCAGGCTTCCCACTCCCCTTCTCCACCATCTTAAACTTCTCCTTCCAAGTTTAGAACGTGGCACCAAATCTCATGTGATCGACCCGCCTATCATTACCTATCAGTGGTTGTAGCCAGGATCCTTCCCAGATGGAAAAATACACCTACGTCTATGAACTGTAGCTTAGACATTGTTTAATTCATTCTGTACTTTCTGATTGGTTGGATTGTTGACTTTTAAATCAAGATGACTTCTGGAACTTTCTAAAACAACTGGGAGCCATCTCTTGTTAGTAAATGTTGATTATTAAAGGGGCGGTATGAAACTAACGTCTTGAAATTGGGTCTCTGTCTCTTTAAGAAGCTCCTGCTCTTTCCGACACTCCGCCTTCAGCACGTCGTCACAACATCGCTCCCCCGTTAAGCCTTCGACTGGGGAGTGGATCGTATAATGAGCTCAGCAGGTGTCTGCTAATTGCTTCTGGCTAGTCTGAAGGAGCTGGGTGGAGGAGCAGTGGAGCGGGAGCTCGGAAGCTGCAGCTTCGAACATTTATGCAAACAAAATGGTTGCAAAGGGAGATTCAAGGATTTGTCAAACAGACATGAAAGAATCAAAGCAACACTCCAGGTACGTTTTTAATGAGATAATATTAGAACATGTCATCATAATGCATAACATTGTAACAACGATGTAATTGTTATAACCTTCCCTAGTTCATATTACCATTCACTGTAGTTCCAGACACACACAGCTAGCCGCTGCGTTTCTTGGCTTTGGATTTCAACCATTGCTCAACCCTTATCTTTTAATGAATCCATTATGGCTGCGGTTGCTGCAGAGCGCAGAGTATGGAGAGTATATCAACCAGAGGTAAATACTGGATTCACTGCTGCGATGTGGTGCAGAGGGAGGACTAGGCGTAACGTATTCTGTGTCACTCTGAAAGGGTTTGTTCCTGCTAACGTTCCCCGCCTACTGGGAAATACTTTTCCATCAGTTTTCAATATGTGGGATATCAGGGGTACAGACTACCAATAAGAAAAGATACACACACACACACACACACACACACACACACACACACACACACACACACACACACACACACCTACACACACACACACTTAGGGGTAATTTAAAGTGGTCAGCAAAGCTCACATCAGATGACAGCAAAGCTACGTTTCAACCTGATAAGGATCGTAAATATACAATCAAAGCTGCAAAGTATTGGTTCAGATCAAAGCGGATGTATTTGTTAGAATGAAAAATAAAGAGTCCAAACATAAACCCTGTAAAGAATTTTAAAAAAAAAGCGTAGATTACTGATGCTTACTGTCCAACCTCAGCTTTCATTTTTGAACAAAACAAGGCAAAAATGATCTGTTTGCAGATATGCAAAGTTTATAGAGATACTTCAAAGTTTTAAATTCAAACATATTTGATGAATTCCTAAGATTCCCACATGGCTGTCTGCCCCGGTTCCACAGTGACACAGATTTTATCCTTTTGAGGATGACAAGAGAATATGGTGGGTTCTGATTGGATACAACATGCTTCTTTTTTTTTATTAATCTTGTAAATCCATTTTGAATCTATGCACAATTTCCCTTACTGATATAAATTTGTTATAAAAGTATTACTGATTGCACTTTAAAAATTAGGTAACTTTATGTTATTAAAGGTAAAGTTTAAACAGTAATGATTTCCTGGTTAAATTTCCAACCATTTAACATGTCAACCATGTTAAATGGTTGACATGATCAACCATTTAAGTTTGATCATGTTGATGAAGATTCCCAATTTTTGTCCATATCTGTTCAGTCCAAAATTTAGACCATTTATGTGGCAGCACATATGTCCCTCTTTGTACTAATTTCTGGCATTAATGTTTTTTTTTAATGATTATTAGGTAACACTTTATTTGAAGGGGGGTGAATAAGACTGACATGACACTGTCATAAACATGACATAACACCTGTCATGAACATCAATAAGCCTTCATGAATATTTATGATGGTTATAAAGCGTCATTCGGTTAATTATGACACTTTTAATACAAAGTTGACATTATTCAAAATGTCTTTGTTATAACAACTTGACATTGACCAATAAATCATTACTGTTTAAACTTTACCTTTAATAACATAAAGTTACCTAATTTTTAAAGTGCAATCAGTAATACTTTTATAACAAATTTATATCAGTAATGATTTCTTGGTTAATGTCAAGTTGTCATAACAAAGACATTTTGTCATAATTTACCGAATGACGCTTTATGACAACAGTCATAAATATTCATGAAGGCTTATTCATGTTCATGACAGGTTTTTATGATAGTGTCATGTCAGTCTTATTCAACCCCCTTCAAATAACAAATAAAGTGTTACTGATTATTATTCAAGAAAAGTGCATCAGAGTGTGTGCTGTCAGATGATGTGTCTAAAAGCTGACATGGTGGGAGTTATAAGATTTTTTTTCCCTTAGTTTTTGAACTCCCACTCAAAGATCAGAGCAAATCGGTGGGGGGAGAAAAAATGGTCTGATTCTGATCTCTGGCTAAAGGACTCGAGCGTTTCTGCCCAGGAGACTTGCAGCTGTAACAGCAAAGAAAAGCGGTTAAAGAAAGTATTGAGTCGGGAGTGAAGGACACAGAAACTCACCACATTCCTTTTACTTTTTTCAAGAAAAAAAAACAAAACAAAACAAAACAAACAAAAAAACAAAAAACAAAAAAACACTTGAACTATCACATAAAATCTTACTAAAAATACCTTAATTTTACTTAATTTTTTTTTTCTTTTGCTGTGACAGGTTATTGATGTCTATATGGATCAGTTTGTCTTTGGCTGCACTGAGAAAGAAAGAAATCTGGACAATAATTAAGTTTGCACAACAGAAAAAAAAAATCTATTAAATCTTAACAGAGAGCTTGGTTTCTCCAACATGCTAACTTGCAGCAGTTTTTACCGCATATATATCAAAAGCACAATTTGGTCATTTCTACTGACGGTTTAGTAAATTGTGTTGCAAAATGACCTAATTTTTGCTCAGTGTTTCAAACTATTTCATCCTCCTCCTTCGTCTTCATTTCACAATCCACTGCTCTTCCTCCCCATCCCTCCCTTGTTGACGGTTTCTTGCATCCTGGTCTTATCCCATCTCTTGCCTTCACCTTCCTCGTGTTTTTCTTTTTCCTCACCCTCCTCCTCCTCCTCCTCCGTTCTCCTTTTCCCCAGTGATCCCGTGTGCCCCGCTCAGCTGGACTCCGCTGCTGCTGGCACAATCACCGGACAGCTTGAGTCCATCTACCTCCCTGAAACGCAAACAGCCGGATCAGACTGCTCGGCAACAGAAATCGTTACGAGATTAATCGGTGCGTCCCGAAAAGAACACGGCCTTTTGAAAGACTCGCAGGCTTTAATGTCTCTGTAGCGAGGATTTTCTGCAACACTTTGGATGATTTTCCACCATCCAGTGTATGAAGAAAAAAATGTGGATTTATGACACACATGGATGATTTCCACATTTCACACTTTTGCAAAAAAAATAAAAAAAATAAGTGGGAGGTTTTGACATTTGTCAGGAGTTTAAGAGTCAGTTTTTTTCCCAACTCTTATGCAATATGGAAATGTCCAAGAGGCTCTGATGCTGAGTCAGATGGCATGTTTTCTTTTTCAGTGCTAAGCACAGAAAAAAAACATTAATTTGCTAATTTTCATGTTTAAAAATTATCTTGTAGTAATTTAACACCATTTTGAGCTTCAGTTAAAAGTGTTGGCTAAACTAAATGCTGAAACTAAAGTTTTCTTTTCATTTGCTACTAGGCATTTGTCCAATGGTCACGTTTTCAAAACACAATTAGCACAAAATCCTGGCATAGTCAAACCAGAGACACGTTTTATGTTATTTAGACACAATTTGAATAGTAGAAAAAAGTTTTACGTTTTCATTGACAGATTCAGCCAATTTTTGTTTTACTTACAAAGTCTGTTTTGGAGAAGGAATAAAAAATGTTGGGGGCCAGTTGTTTGATTCAGGTGTGGCGTTTAGAACAAATATATTAGGTACAAAAAATGTCTATCAGTTGTTGTAAAGGTCACCCATTAAAACTGGCTCATCACCATTAAGGGGAGCTAAGTATGAAAGCCCATCTGTCCAGTTTTTCCTGACTTCTTTCCAGTTTTGGGGTAAAAAAAAAAAAACTTGTTAATTTCTTTCGACATATTTACAACTTTTCATCTTGTTGCTTCTTCCCTGTGAGCATTCAGCTGTGTATGTACATCCTGCTGCTGCTGGCTTGAATTCATGTTCAGTTTCCTGCAGTGGAAAGGGGAATGAAGGCTCCTGGGCATCAACGTGTGAGCGGCTCGACCTGCGACTCGGCACATTTATATACCCAAAGGCTCAGACAGCAACGTGCTGCTGACGAATCTTTATGCAGGTTTAAAACATCCTAAGGTATGACAGGGATTTTTTTCCATAGGGCAACTGTCGTTTACAATAAGTTTTGTTGTGTTGTAAAATAATCCAGGCATATGGTGAACTGTTAAAATATTAATATACAAAAAGCTAGTTCAATGTTAGCTTCAGCTCTGGCAAATAGTTTAAAATTTTAGCCATTACAAAGGGTCTTTAAGTTTCCAAATTTTGAAAATGTATCGTTCCCTATTTTCTCAAATGATTGACGACTGTTTTATGGTCAACATTTGATGTTTTGTTTTGATTTTTGTTTCCTTCTCCTGACTGGTACCTATAACATCAAAGAGATCCTGTTAAACTTTAAATACGGCTTCAACTGAAGGAGAAAAATGACTGGAAAATAGATCTGGGAGACCAAAATTTTGATCTGATGTTAATCAGATTCTTTATAGTTAATGGTCGGCGGGTACCTGAGCAAGACAGAGAGCTGTGAGTATGAGTTTACTCTAATGTGTCCGAGTTGTTGCAGTTTTTCCTCCTTTAGTGGATATTTTGTGTTGAACAATCAAAAATACTTTTCATATTACCATTGGAAAATGTTTTGAAGCGATGTATGTAGGTCGGCTTTTCTTAGCTTTTACCTGGCCTTTTAACAATGTGGTGCAAACGTGTTAGAAATGTAGATGCTGCTGCCAATCAGCCTGAGAAATGGCTGTAAGGCAATACATGAATGATATGGCCATTTCTAAGTTATTAAATCAAAATCTTTTGAACAACAACAACAACAACAAAAATGCAGTCAAATATGGAGCACTTTCTCTGAATGTAAAAAAGTTGACCCGATTTCATGTCAGGCAGCACGGCAATGACCCAACAATGATCCAAATGAAGGTTCTGCAATAACCTGGAAAAATTCACACCTTAACTCAAATAAAATGCAAGGAGAAAATCCAAACCTAAATTAGCTGAAGTAACACTGCAAAGGAAAGGAGGACTGTAGTTCCTCCATAAGAAAATTATATTTTATTAGATCCTGTGATTGAAAATGGGAGTACAGTCGGTATTGACGCTCAATGATTTGAACACATCTGCATGTACAGTGTGAGGTTGAAAAGTGACAGATAAAGGAGAGTGAAGCTGTGAAAACCTGCAGGTAGACTCAGATTAATGTTACTGTAACCTCCGACTACAGATGTAGCTTGTGGGTCGTTTCACTTAAGTCGTCACAGCATCTTTAGAAAAGTTCAACTGTAGAACAAAGAGCAAATAAATCATGTCATATTGAATTTTGGTCATCGTTACTGTGACTGTGTTAATGTTGGACATGGGCCACTGTGAGTAGGAGCGTACTTTTTTGGCTGCTGTCAGTGTGAGTGTAAATGTACCCCGGAGGTATTTTTAACCTCAGAAGTGAGTTTCACTTTTCCGGTGGCAGGTCTTTGCTTTGTCGTTTTTTTGTTTTTTTTTGGTGTTGCATCCTGCTGCTGCAGATACAAAAAGCGATTCAAAGGAGCCGTTTTCTGAAAGCAGCCTTCGATCCAGCACAGGGTTCCTGTTTATACTCACTTAAACGTGCGCTCACTCACACACACACACAAACACACACACACACACACACACACACATACACACACACACACACACACACACACACACACACTCACTCATCCAACACCCATGTTGCCGGTACCCTGTCCGTGTCAGATGTACAGTATACGCAGGGCGCGCGCGTTCACAACTAAATATATACATAGATAAACAAAGATTTCTGAGAAGGAAGACGTTACCGCTGCACGCTGATGGAACGACACGACCTCTGACGAGGCTCCAGTAAACCAGTTGAAGTGTCTCCCAGCAGGATTTCCTCTGACATCATCTCCAGGTGGAGCCGCCGCAGCTTTCCAGTCACATCACAGCGACGAATAAAAACAAACTCGCTGTGGTGTGAGAGAACCGTTTGATTTATTAGTGTCTGCAAAAAAAGTGTCTTTTTTTTTTTTTTTTACTGAGCCCACCGACCTTCCTGTGGGCCTGCAGCGAGAGACCGAGAGAGAAAAAAGTTCAGAGCCTGAGGAAGGTTTAGGACTCGGAAAGCTGCAAAGGTGTGGAACCAATTAACAAATGTGGCCAAATTAACATCTCTTTTGATTTAAGTCTGCACTTTGGCCCACTGTGTGTTTATGACTACTTTAATTTTAAGAGTTACCTCGGTTACCAATACCGAAGCAGACGTTTACTCCCCCAGCCTCAAAAACATGTTATCGCTTCATGTAAATATGGCGTAAACAATATTAAACTGTTGTCAAGTTTGATGCACGCAAATACTGAGTCAGTTTCTCAGAGGAGCTGGAGGAGTTTCACTGATTAGATAAAACGGCTGAAGGAATTCAAAACTCTGCGATGGTCAGAAGTGTGGCCAAAAGGCAGGGCAGGTAAAATAAATGCTGGTTTTATTGGCTCTGTTGTGAATATCTGCCAAGGACGAACTCTGGAATCGCCTCTAGTGATGATAAAGTGAAACTTATAAACCAGTGGAACACATTTCTCCTCTCGGATGTTGTTTCTTAGCTCCAATGGGACACGCTGCTGGTCCTCCACGGCGGCTCGACTCCGTTGGATGCTGCTACTTTGCAGTGGAGCAGAAACCACACATCCAGCTGCCACTTCAGGTGCTGCTTGTCTTACTACCCACCAATAAAAGCCTCATTAGGCGTCTGTTGCCAAGCAACTGGAGCTGTCACAAAGTGAACTGGTCACCATATGATGTTCAGTGTCTTTTCTTTTCTTTTTTTTCCCCCGTTTTGAATCTGTTCGAGCAGGGCTTCAGAGGAAAGAGGGTGAAGTTGTTTATCATTATAAAAGCCTTTTACAGTAATATGTGTGTGTGTGTGTGTGTGTGTGTGTGTGTGTGTGTGTGTGTGTGTGTGTGTGTGTGTGTGTGTGTGTGTGTGAGAGGGGGGGGGGGGGGGGG